TTGGAATCCTATCATCTGGCATTCTCTGTACATGGCCGTACCATATTAACTGTTTTGTTTTTATGTCATCAACTATTGTATGTTTGACTCCCATCATTTCTCGTATTCTCTCATTTGGTATGCGATCTCTTCTTGATTTGCCTGCTGCTCTTCTCCAGAAGTCCATTTCTGTTGCTAGTAACAGTTTCTCTGTTCTTTGTTTCATTGGCCAAACTTCACTGCCATATGTGATTACACTTTTAAGTATGGTGTTGTATATGAGTTGTTTGTTCGCTTTAGATATTGTTTGGTCCCACAGAATGCTGTTCATCATGGATATGGCTTTTCTACCATGTATGTTTCTGTCTTTTATAGCAGCATCGAGTGTTCCATCTTGAGTTATCTTCATACAAGATTGTATTCATCACAGTTTCTAATTTCTACCCCATCGTCTAATATAATGAACTGTTTTGTCCCTCCTATACACATGGCTTCAGTTTTCTTAATGTTGACTTCGAGACCCCATTTGTTATATTCTTATAATTAGCTTCCGAGTCATGTAAGTCTAGTCTTTATGATCCTGGGAAATCAGTATTTGGTTATCAGCGAAACATAAGGTGTACAGTGTAGTCTCGTCATTGAGAGGGATTCCCATGCCATTACATTTTAGCTTGAGTGCTTGTTCCAGATAAATTTTGAAAAGGGTAGGCGAAATACAGCAACCCTGCTTCAGTCCTTTCGTGACCTTAAATCCTTCAGATATCCTTGATCCAGTTTTAATTTTTGCAGTCGTTCCATTATACAAACTTTGGACTGCTTTGATAAGACCATGCTTAATGTTGGTTTGCTGTAGGGTTAACCATAGTTTACTTAGGGGTAAACTCTAGACTGGTTTACTGGAGACCCCCAAAGACATATTATATCAAGAGCCAGTAGGAACCAGGAAGAGATGCAGGTCAAGATCTAGATTTAAAACTCAAGTCGAAGATGACTTGAGGAATCTAGGGGTCAGAAATTGGAAAGCCAGGGCGAAAGATAGGGGAAATGGAGACTAATTCTTGAACAGGCACAGGGTGTGGGTCTTGGCCTGTTCAAGAATTAGTCTCCATTTCCAACTTGTGGTGTTGTAGAGTCAAAGATGATGATGATGACTAATTAGCACGCGTAAATTCAACACTTACTTTTCTTGTTAAGGCTTATTTAGAAGAAGTATCTTACTCATAACTGTACCTTTAAAATAATTTCTTTTTAATTAGTACATAATTTGGTACAAGCTGTAATCAAGAAACGCCTGCAACTTTCGTAAATATCCAGTATCAATTCATCATCTAAATCATTAATATTTTGCGCCATCTAAATTCCTAGATACATGCTACTAATGTTGACAAATTTTGTAATATCCTGAGGATGAATTATTTCAACATTAGTTTGTCTCACATATCCTGGGTCCATGTAGGTAAGCAATAGATCTCTATATACGAAATTCATCCAAAATATAAGCTCAGACGTTGGTGCCTAATTGGCATATACCACAGACGTGTATATTAACATACACTGAGTAGTCTGTAGAACTAAGTGACGACACTATCTTTGTTGTCATTGTTAGTTGTGTCTCTATCTTACATCAAGTACGTATAGCAGAGTCTCTTTTTTGTTCGGGAAAGAGCGAGCAGGGCGTTTCAATGGGTTAGAGAGAGACAGATCGAACAACCGCAGAAGATGATACATTCACTGTTCGTTGTTGACATACTCAGTTTATGTTAATATGTACGTATATGGTATATACCCACTCGCCATGGAAATATACACTACTACTACAAATAAGAACATCACACGCAAAACTAAATTTGATCCAAGTATATGCCCCAACGACAGATGGAACAGAAGATGAAGAAGAAACATTCTACCGACAAATTGAAGATAAATTGAAAATGACAAAGAACGGGAAATCACTGTAGTTATGGGCGATTTCAATGCAAAAGTCGGCAAGGAAACAGCTGGAACAATAATGGGAGGGAAACTGACATTAAGGACTAGGGGAACGTAACGATAGAGGAGATCGTTTAATACAATTCTGCCAAGAACAAAGTCTAATAATCACAAACACATTCTTTAAATTACCTATGAGACGGTTATATACATGGCTCTCACCAGCAGATAAACCGGAAAAAGTGATAAGAAACCAAAACGATTATATAATAATTAAGGAGTGACACAATCAAATCAGTTAAAACATATCTAGGAGCAGATGTCGCATCAGACCATAACCCAATAATCGCTAATGTCACGCTTAAGCTTAAACGTCTTAAAAACCCCAAAAAACTCCAAAATTAGATCTTAGAAAACTGAAAGAAGCTGATATAAAAACAAACTCCAACAGAAAATATACGAAAACTTTAATAAATTAGATACTAACACCTACGAGATAAACCAACAATGGAAACATTAAAAAACTGCCTCCTCGTTCTGTGCAAAGAGTTATTAAAAGAACCGATAAGAAAGAGAGACAACTGGATGACCGACGAATCGGCTACTCGGCAGGATGGACCACAGAAGACAAGCCAAGAACAAAGAAAGTCACAATTACAAAACCATTAACAATGAAAACAGAAAAATAATAAGAGAGGCAATACAAACTTATTATGAAGAAAAATGTAAAGAGATAGAAGATCTTCAGAACAAATACGACCTATTCAACCTACATAAAAAAGTTAAAGAAAAGGCAGGGCTGCAAAAAAGAAACCACAACACAACTCTTTTAGATAAAAATGGAAATACTATGATAACGACTGACGAAAAGCTAAAACGATGGAAAGAATAAATAGAAGAGCTCTTCCAGTACGAAAGGAGAATCCTACATATCTTTCGAGAACAGAGAAACAAGTATAGAAATTACAAAGGAAGAAAATTACAAAAGAAAAAACGGAAAAAGCCCGGGGCTAGATCAACTGCTTATTGATACCCTTAAAATAATAGCAAATAAATACATATATGTCCTCTTAAAGCGTTCTTTAATGAAATTTATCAGTCGGATGACATACCCAATGAATGGTTGACCTTAACATTTATTTGCCTCCCAAAAAGAAAAATGCTAGAGAATGCACCCACCACTGCACTATAAGCCTGATGTCTTATACACTTAAAATGTTTTTAAACATCATCCATAAATGCACTTACCAAATACTTGATATAGATATTGAAGAAACCCAATTTGGGTTCCGTAGAGGCGTAGATACCCGGGAAGCTCTCTTTGCATTCAACGTACTAATCCAGAGATGCTTGGAATATCAAGATATGTACGGCTGTTTCATAGATTACAACAAGGTTTTCAATAAAGTCCGCCACAAAGAGCTAATAGACGTCCTCAAAACAAAACAATTACAATGCATAACTTTCGAACTATAACAAATCTTATAAACAGCAGGCACACATACGCAGAAATGAACACACATCAGAAGAGTTTAAAATTAAAAGAGGAGTGCGACAGGGGTGTGTATTGTCACCACTACTATTCAATGCATACTCTGAAGAAATTATGAAAAGAGCTCTTGAGGGAGAAACAGCAGGAATAAAGAATAATGGAACACCAATTAACAATATTAGATAAGCGGATAATAGCAGACAACCTCCAATGCCTCCAAAAGCTAATGGATAAGATAGTTGAGTATGGAGAAGAATATAGATTATAAATAAACATCAAGAAAACTAAATTTATGAGGATATCAAAAACCCAAAATAATGATGAAAGCCTGACAATTAACGGTAAAACTTTAGAACAAGTCGAAAACTACAATTATCTTGGCACAATAATCACACAAAACGATTTCTCCAAATAAATCAAAATTCGAATAGAGAAAGCGTGAACAAACTTCAATAAAATGAGAAAGGTACTTTGTATAAGAGAACTTAAATTAGACTTGAGAGTTAGGCTGGCAAGGTGTTGGAAGCATTTAAACTATGGGTGTATAGAAAAATCCTGAAGATATCATGGAATGCGCATGTAACAAACAACGAAGTCAAGAGAAGAGTCAAAAAAAGAATGAAAATATTGGAAACCATCAAGACACGAAAGCTGCAATACCTGGAGCCGGTTATGCGTAATGAAAGATACAATATACTTCAATTAATTATATAAGGCGCAAGAGAAATGTAGGAAGAAGAATAATCTCATGGTTACATAACTTGAGGGAATGGTACTGATGCACATCAATCGAGCTATTCATCAATCGAGAATAGCCATGATAATTGCCAACCTCCGTCATGGAGATGGCACGTAAAGAAGAAGATATACCCACTCGACATAGGAATAGCCCGACCACATTTCGACGCACCAACTTTGACCGTCAACCCTCAATCCAGGATTGCCATTCCACGTGTCGGTAAATCACGACTTTACATTTCTTGAAACTCATTGTAAATCGTTCGTTTTTCGTCTATTATAACTTCTAATTCTAATTCTTCTATTTTTTTTTTAATTCATTTAAACTAGATTTTTACTTTTGTGGAACTTACTGATCTTGAAAAAGTGGACAGAGCTGTCGTCGTACCTATCCAATAGATTAAACCAAGGAGAAAGGCGCATATCGCCACCACTAGTAAAGCGGCATCGTCGCAGAAAGGCCTATCGGATGCCCCATTTCCCAGAGCATTCAAGATAAAAAACAAATAAAGCCTCTTTAACGTTATCTCTGCGATTGGAAAGGGGTGAAGGTAACTTGAGGATAAGAGAGATGCCATTTTATGAAGCGTAATATTTGGATAGGAGAACACTCCGGGAATCTCATTTCTCCTGGATTTAACTAATAAAAATACTGATTCATTATTATTTTTCTTGATTTCTAATCGGTAGCAAATCAATATTCGAGTATAAGTTAGTGAATTGAATAAATTTTTGCATTAATTTTTAACAGTTTTATACTTGTGTAATTCTGAAATAATGACAAGGTTAACCAAAATACTTAGAAAACACTATAATAGAGAATATTTTTACGGTTAAAATTATTTATATTTTCTATTATATATTAAAGGTAAGTTTCTATAGAAAACACAATTATACTGGCAGTTATACCAAATAAATAGATGAAAAACGTAGATTCTAGAGTTTCTAATTGTAGTTTTGAGTACTGCAAAGCTTGCTTGTTTTGTGCCAAAATCATAGCTTTTTCGTAATTACTTTCGTAGATTTTGCATAAATGTCTAATAAAGCCAGCTTCTTTAAGTAAGAGAATATTCTTATTGAATTTTTCAAATAAAGGATGCCCTTTAAGAAAAAGTATCCCGAAATGGAAAGGAACTACATCCGGATCTTTGATAATATATATAAGCGATCTTCCCTTTGAGTCTAAATATATGGCTGGGATCAAGAATTGCATTGCTTTGATCAAGCGTTTTGCAATGATATCTTTATTAAAAACTACTCTATCCACGCATGCAGTAAAGTTAAAACAGTTGATTACACGGTCATTTGCTACCAAAGCTGATTCGAATGGATTTTGTGATAATTTAAGTAGCCGAATAAACGGTGCACCAGGCATACCAATCTTTAAATTTGACTTCAAAATATCCTCTCTGGATGTAATTAATTGGGTCGATAAATCTGTCTTCATCATATCGAACATTTTGCTTCTATAAATAGTTGTAAACAAGAGACTAAAGAAAACATACAAAGTTAACAAAAGTTTTAGTGAAATAGTTCTAGTGTTAATCTCTCCAATGCTTCCTAAAAGGACTCCTAAAATAATTTCAAACGCAGAGAAATCGCTCTTATAAGGAAATATTAGATGGCTGAATTTAAAAAGTATGTATAAGAATACAATCATTATGAAAAAACATATCCAAATTTTGTTATCAAACTCTCGATAGAAAATTTGCCATTTTTTATTAATAACAATTCTAGGTGTTACGTAAACTGGTACATCTTCTGTAAAGGTCATGGTTTTATCGAACTGGGTTGTTTCATTAACATAAGGCACAACAGAAAAGTCATAAAAATTTTCTTTAAACTTAGGTTCTACTGCCAAGGGATTGATTAGGCTTTGTGATTCTACATAATTAATGTTCACGTGTAAATAAGATGCAATCATATTGATGACTTCTACATGAATGCCTTCTGTGGGACTTACAATAAAAGGAGCAAAATGTATCCATGTCGCATCTAATTTGGAAAATTTCAAACTTCTTTTTCGAAAAAAATCTTCGGTATTTCGCAATTGTAAACACTCATCTCCTGTGGAAAGGCACTTATCAGATGTACATGTATATAAATTCATTCCTGACCTATTAAGTATTATTAAAATCTTAAGAAAGAAATATTTGTTAAAAATGCCTAAATGAGTTTTATTAATTTCGTTCATTATAAATATAAATTTAGCTCTATTATTTAAAATCATTTTATCGAAAAGCATTTTTACAACTTCTAATATATTTCCAGATATAACATACAGGGTAGGTTCTAAATAGAAAAACTGTTTAATCGGGTAGTCAGTGTTTATATAAATAGCAGGATAACTAACTTTAATATTTGTGTTTATCACGTAAACAATGTCAGTTGATGAAACTGTAGATTTTACAATATTATTACAGCAAAGTTCAATATTATTATCATATCGCTTTGTAAGAATTAATGAAGAAACTGGACACATTTTAGGTAAGAATATACACACCATCATCATCTTATAATATAATTGCAACGTGTTCTTCATCGTGTTTCGTAGCAAAAAAGAAAATGTAATTGTAACTGAATATTATTCAAAAATATACTTTATAAACTGCTGTAAGCTATACTTAAAAATAAATTACCAGAAAAAACATTAAATAATTGACACAATAATCCTACTGCAATTTAATAAAATAGTTGTCCTTGAATCGAAAACAGAAATATGTTGGACAAGAACAACATAATATAATAATCATATATATTTGACTATTATTGTCAATTAGTAGTGAAATAAATATAGAGCACCCACGTAATTCTTACATTAAAATATTACTCATTATTCAAAACCAAAACTGCGTGTCTCCGCCAACTTAATTTTTTGGCAATTATATTATAACATTTTTTAAATTATTTCTTTTTTATTTTTTTATGAATTTAATCCTTCAGTATTTGGCGGTACTGGATGTCACATGTCGCTTTGGAATTTTTTACCGATTTTTGCTAACTTATAAAAGCGTAACATATGTCCGTCCAGAGAAGGACTACAGAAAAGTTCACCATTTAAAACCGCGGGTGGTAAATTCGAAAACCTCCAATGAAAATACTGTCTCCCATAAATTTTAGACCCTTTCTTTAAATTACTTTATAAAAATTAGATTAGAAAGTTTTGACCATGAGTTTTTTCTAACTGGCATCTTTCTGAAGGGAAAAGCACCACTTCTGGTGGCGTCCTTTTGGGAAGCAGGCGTATTTTTCTCTCGCGATCTTTTTGATTTCGCAACGGCAGAGATGAGAGTACTGAGGAGAATTGCAGGAAATACACTGAGAGATCGAAAGAGAAGTGAAGACATTATAATACTGATTTGATTTTATATGAAAACTGATTTATTCTTAGTAATAAAATAAATCTCCCTAGATTTGCTTGTACAATATTTTTGTTGAATTTGTTATCAGTTTAGAGTCAGTGAATTTTCAAGAAGCAGACACAGCATCAACAAATGTAAGTTATACACAAATGTAGTGTTACACCTGTGTATTACCAAGAAAAGCTTGAGAGGTGCTGAATCTTTGGCAAATTCAAGGTCATATCTTTGTCACCTGGTGAATTACTATTAGGTACCAGAGTAATTAAGGATGGTTATACACGAATCTTAGTCAACTCTCTTCATATATGCACAGTGCTGAATTTATTTGTGTCGTTTTGTACAATAAAAATTCTTTTTACTTTTTTACATTCGAGCCCAGCAATTATTATTTGTCAATAAATAATAGTGTTAAATTTAAATTAAATTTTTAGGTGTAGAGTTTGTTTTAACTCTCGTTCTGATCCTGATCCAGTAAAGATTAGATTTTTGGTTTTATTTTATTTTTAATAATAACGGTAACCATTTCTTTTCTGATCAAATTGGGCAATACTCAATTTTGCATATACTTGTATGTTGCAGAATTGTAAAAGTCTGTTTATGTGTTTTATTTTTTGTGTATTTCAACCATTTCTTGAAATTATTGGTCTATTTGTTTTATTTTTTTCTGTATTAAGCTATGCTAACCATTTGTTAAAATAAATTATTTTCTTTTAAACTGACGTATTTATTCCTTCTACTAACAAACAAGTCCCCTAACTAAATATGAATAAATATATTGATGGCATGAAAAAATAAAAATAAAACAAAAGTTATGGTGAAATGAGAAACTGAAGAAGAAGAAAAGGTAAACATAAAAATAGAAAAAGTATATATAGAACAAACACGAACCTTATAATGCTTAGGAATAGAATTAGAAGCCAATGGAAGACACAAAACAGATATTAATAGTAGAATTCAAAAAACGATAAACCTATACTATGCAATGAACATTAAATTCATAAATAAGACTGAATTTACAAGAAAAACAAAAATTAATGTGTTCAAGTCAATATATAGAGATATATTATCCTTTGTTTGCGAGTCGTGGGTACTAACAAAACGACAAAAGAGTAAATTAAAGGCAGTAGAAATGAAATATCTAAGACGAGTTCGAGGAGTTACCAAAAGAGATAGACTACGGAACACTCAAATAAGAGAAAATTTGCAAATATAGTTAATATGAGAACATATAGAAAGAAGGCAACTCAGTTGCTGGGGTCATCTTTAGAGAATGTAGAATACAAAACCGGTGAAAGAAATTTGTCAGGCAAAAACCCAAAGAAGAAAGAAAAAAGGTAGACCACGACAAACATAGGATAGAACTCTATGAAACATTATCGAAAAAAGAGGAACAACACAGACAGAAGCAAGGACGTTAGCCAGAAATAAGAAGGAATGGGTCAAATTTGTACATAATGTAAATATACAGTAGAATATAAGATTAGTGGGACTTGTATAGTGTATATTCAAAGGGACGTGTATAGTCTAGACCTGACATAAATTTATGTTATGCTACGAAAGTTACAGCAGGTTTAAAATGAAAGGAAAAGGCCAAATAAGACCTGGTAGATAGAACTTGCGTCTGCAAACGGCATCCTATGGATAAATAAGGGAAGCCGATCCCGCATATAGATATAAACAGAGAAAATGTTAATAAATGATGTTTAATACTGGAACTATGTAATTTAAGATATTTTTCCTTTGCATTTATTTTGTACAGGTATAGTACTCTATGTCTGATACGATTTTAAAATTACACGAAAGTTTCTATCGAAAACACAATTATACTAGCGGTTGCGCCAATTAAATAGATTACAAAAGTGGATTGTAGGGTTCCTAATTGTATTTTTGCGTACTTCAAAGCTTGTTTGTCTTGTGCCAAAATCATAGCTTTTTCGTAATCTTTTTCGTTGATTTTGCATAAATGTGCGATAATCCCAGTTTCTCTAAGTGAAAGTATATTCTTGTTAAATTTCTCGAATAGAGGATGTCCTTTAAGAAAAAGGAGTCTAAAATGGACCGGAACTGCATACGGGTCTTTGACAATATATACAAGCGGCCTTCCCTTTGAATCTAAATATCTAGTTGGTATCAACGATTGTATTGCTTTGACCAAACGTTGTGCGACAATATCTTTATTAAAAGCTGCTCTATCTACACATGTAGTGAAATCCAAACAATTTATAACTCGTCCAGTTGCCACTAGAGATGAATCGAATGGATTTTGTGACAATTTAAGTAGCTGAACAAACGGTGCTCCAGCCATTCCAATTTTCAAATTGGAGTTTAAAATATCCTGCCTGGATGTAATTAATTGGGTCGATAAGTCTGTTTTCATTATATCAAACATTTTGCTTCTATAAATAGTGGTAACTAAGAGGCTGAAGGAAATATATAGTGTTAATAAATATTTTAGTGTAGTAGTTCTTGCCTTTAATCCACCAATGCTCCCTAAAAGATGTCCTAAAATTATTTCAAACACAGAGATGTGGTTCTTATAAGGAAGCATTAGATAGATAAATTTAAAAAGAAAGTAAAATAATAAAATCACTACTGAAAAACATATCCAAATTCTGTGATCAAATTCCCGATAAAAAATTTGCCATTCGTTATTAATAATAATTCTAGGTACTACATAAGCTATTACATCTTCTGTGAGAGTAAAGGTTTTATCAAACTGGGTTGTTTGATTAACAAAAGGCATAACAGAAAAGTCATACATATTTTCTTTAAACTCGGGTTCGACTGCATAAGGGTTAATTGGACGTTTCGATTCTATATAATTAATTTTCACATGTAAATACGATGCAATCATATTGATAATTTTTATGTAAATGCCTTCAGTAGTATTTATAATAAATGGAACAAAAGGTGTCCACGTCGCATCTAATTTGGAAAACTTCAAACTTCTTGTTTGGAAAAAATCTTTTGTGTGCCTCATCTGTAAACATAAATCCCCTGTGGGGAAACACCTATCGGATGAACATGTATATAAAACAATATCTTTGATATTAAGTACTATTAAAGTCTTAAGCAAGAAATATTTATTAAAAATGCGTATGTGAGTTTTATCAATTTCGTTCATGATGAATATAAATCTAGCTCTACTGTTTAGAACCATTTTATTGAAAAGTTTTGGTACAACTTCAGCTATATTTCCCGATATTATATACAGGGCAGGTTCTAAATAAAGAAACTGTTTAATCGAGTAGTGGGTTGTTATATAAATAGCGGGATAACTCACTGTAATGTTTGTATTTACCAAATAGATAATATCCGTTGGTGACACTGAAGATTTTACAATATTATTAATACAAATTTCAATATTATTATTATAATATGTAATTGAGGAAGAATATGCATATATTTTATCTAAAAATATATATACCATAATCATATTACAGGATTGTAACCTGTTCTTCATCGCTTGACAGTAAAACAATCAACTGAATATTATTCAAAACTCTCCAAAGTTATACCTAAAAAGAAATTACAGAAAAAATATTAAATGAAGATAATTGATATAATAATTCTAATGAGTTAAAAAAAGCTGAAATAATAAATTAGAGGATAACAATAATAAATCATTTATTATCCTCTGAACGGAAACAAAAATATCTTTGGACACGAACATACTAATATATAATCATTTATGTTTGGAGGTTGTTAGTTAATGATGAACTACAGAGACCCCACATAATTCTTACAT